GGAAAGGAGGCAGCTGCTGCCCAGCTTGGGTCCTTGGGAGCAAATGCAGCTCAGTGCAGTGCCAGAGGGCTCAGAGTGACTGTGCTGCTGCCACTTAGGTAGGTCACTCATTTCCAGGATGCAGGGACCCCTGCAGAAAGGGCACAGCTCACAGAGCCCAGGGCTCCCTGGCAAAGGGCATTGGCACTCACTGGTGCTCCTCAGAGAGCGGAGGAAAGCGAAGCAGGGGCTGACACAAAGGCGTGAGGAGGAGCAGAACCGCCTTGGTCAGAGTTTATTGCGAGTTCCTGAAGCACTGCGGGCCCTGGCAGTGGGATTGTTGTGGTAGTGGTGGTAAGCCTCCTTCAGTGGGAGCAGAGGTGGTGGGAGCCAAGGTAGAGGTGTGAGTAGGACCCAGCTGCCCCCTGCTGCTGCTCCTCATAGCCTGCCCAGGCCGTGTGCATGTGGGGCCAAGGGGAAGTGCTGGGGATTGCTCCCTGCCTGGGAGGGGCGCAGCTGCCACCGCAGACAGGGAGGAGGCAAGACAGGAAGCCACAAGGGAGGAGGTTGGCTGCAGCAGGTGCACAACGCCTGTCCCACAAGGACAGAGTCCCCCAGCCCATGCCCCTCACCCTGTCCAGCCGGGGGAGAAGGCTGCAGGCATGACAGGTCCGTGGTGTAGCCGAGCAGCAGCGAGGCCGGGCTGTGCAAGGTGCCGGTGGTGAGGGCGGGTGGGGTGGTGGGAGCAGCTGGAGTGCCGGGCGCTACCTCTGCAGCTCTTAGTAAGGCTGGTTCTTAATGAAGCGGCAGAACATGGTGAAGGCAGCAAGCGGCCGGTCTGTGGGCACCATGTGGCCAGCTCCCTGTAGGAAAGGGACAGTGGTTGGCAGTGTGGGTGGGGTGCTGCTGATATCACCCAACCCTGACTGCAGCCTTGGTATCCAGCACACCCTCCCACAGCCCCATCCCTGGCCCCCAGAGCCCTCAGCCCTACCTTGACAGTGAGGAAAGCGATGTTGGTGAATTCCTTCACAAAGCCACCAATCTGGTTCTCACCGTTTTCCGTGTAGAGCCAGGGTCGGCGAGCCACCTGCACCTGGGAGTAGCAGCAGTGCCTTCAGCACCTGTGGCTGGCCCTGCCCATGCTCCTGCCACAGCCAGCTACAGCACATAGCACATAGTGACTGGCCTGGCCTGGGCCCTGCCCATTTACCTTCTGGCACAGGGAATCCACAAACCACTCATCCCCAAGAAAGTTGCAAGCCATGTCAACGTCCCCGTTGTACACCAGGATTCGGTATTTCTGTGTAGCAGAGAGAGAGTGAGCTGTTGGCAGGGCAGCAGCCCCAGCCAGGTAGGAGGCTGAGCTGGCAGAGAGACTTCCAGGGTCTGTGGGCTCCCTTGCACACACCGTGGCTCCCAGCAGCTTGAGGTACACCTCATTCATCTGCATGTACAGGCGCTTGTAGCTGCGGTTCACCTCGAAGCTGTGGAGGAAGCAATGGCAGCATGTCTGCTCCTTCTCAGAGTAGTCCCTCCCTGCCCACAGCTTGCTCACCTGCACACCTGCCACTCTGGGGCCTCAGGGGAGATGTGCAGAGCCTTCCGCACCTCAGGGGAGTTCAGATACATGCTGGGGGCTGTGGAGTTGGTGCAGGGCGGGTCCATCCGGACCTTCTTTCGGGCCACTGGCATCCGGAACAGGTTCTGGGAGAGTCGGGAGAGTCGCTGTCACAGCAGCACCTGCCCCATGGAGCAGCTGCTTTCTGCCCCTCCTGCCCACAACAGCACAACTGGCTGAACAGAGGCTGCTCACAGCCCAGCAGCATGGGCAGCTCGGCTCACCTGCCGCCAGGAGAACCTCAGTGGCATCCGGATGAAGGAGTTGCCCAGGTCATGTGTGATGAGATAATCACCCTCATATCTGTAGCCAGAGAGAGTATGAGGACAGACTGAAAACCCTGGAGAACAAGGGATAAAGGGCTCTCCTGGGGGGAGTCCTCAGCACCATCCATGTGTCCCAGAGGGGCCCCCTGCCCAGCCCACCATGTCCCTCTGTGCCAGTGCAACCAAAGCCCTCACCTCATGCTCCCGGGGACACCTCCATCACATGGGGCATAGAGGTTGTAGATATTGAGGCCAGACTCCTCTACAATCTGAATCATCTCCCCCATCTGCAAGCAATCACAAAAAGGGTTTGGGACTCAGCAGGACCCTTGTGGACCTGTGGGCCCAGGCACGTTCTGCTGGGCACATGTATAGGGGCTCTGGCTCCCCTCACCTTGAGTGTGCAATTCAGGTTGGAGTTGTCGTGGAAGTTGCACTTCCCCTCGGAGCAGCAATAGGCCTGCAGGTCTTTCCACAGCCTGCGGGCAGAGACCAGGACCACTTGGACCAGGTGGCAACAGTGCCATGACAGCTGCCCTGCAGCTCTCTGCCCAGTGGCCAATAGGCACACAGCTTGGCCCTGTGCCCTCTTTACCCCACAAACAAACCCACCCATGGGAGCTGCCCTGGGACAAGGAGCCACAGCCCAGATGCTGGCCCAGGACAGGCTAGGTGCTGCCCTTGTCTCAACACCACCGACCCAGACAGCCCCAGCCTCAGCTGTGCAGCCATCCTGCTTGCACAGGGATGGCACATCCAGCATTCCCTCTGCTCTTACTCGGTCCCCAGCAGCCCGTGGTAATAGGCAAAGTAAACCAGGGAGTTGTCATTGATCTCATAAGATGAGAGGCCGTTTCCCACAGCGATTCCCTGCGAGGCAAGAAGAAAACAACCCTGTTGTGTTCCAGCTCCCCGCGGGGCAGTCACAGCACAGCAGCCGCAGGCAGGAAGCAGATGTGGAACTGTTTACTCTGCAGAGGGAACAGGGAGGGTTGGGGGTGCCTGAGGACACTCCCCTGGCAGCAGGGACAGACACGTCCACCAGCAGCTGCTGCCAGAACCCCAGGAAGAGATGAAAGGCTGCAGGGACAGGCGTGCCCTGCATCCTAACTGGTCCCACCCTGGCTGTGCCAAGCCCTCTGCTCCCCGTCTGGGCAGAGCCAAGCTGCCCACCTTCAGATTGAGGCTGGGGTCCTGCATCACCCACTCTGCCAGTGTGGGAATGTAGACCCCTCCATAGCTCTCCCCTGTGAGGAAGAGATCATTCTTGGAGTACTCAGGGAAGAGCCGGAGGAAATCCTTGAGTGCCAGGTAGTTGTTGTGAGCAACCTGCAGGGAGAAGGTGGCACGGTCAGGTGGTGAGGCTGCACCCCATAGCCAGGAGTGGGCAGGCAGGGGAGCAGGGATCTCCCAGTCACTTGCCTCCGTGTCATTTGTGCCATACTTCTTGTCATCAGAGTATGAGAAACCGACGCCAGCAGGAGACTCCACGTAGAGGATGTTGGCAATCTGCAAGGACAGCAGAGGAGCCAGCAATGAGGGGAGACCCTCTGGCTCAGGGGGGCCAAGGACTGCTAGCCCCGCCCACGGCAGCACCCACAGGAGCCTGGCCCGCCCCAGGGCTGCACTGGGATGGCCACATTCCTGAGCTGCTCAACAGCACACTCCAGAGGAGGGTGTGTTGGGTGGGAGGGGAGCAGCGGTCATCAGCTCCATGGAGAGAGCAGGAACTGGCTCACAGCCACCCCGTCTCAAAGCCACAAAGAAAAGCAGTGCTTGTACCTTGTTCCATGCGTACTCATTGTACTTCAGTGTGACCCCATCGGGCTGGATCTGAGGAAGAAGGTGGTGACTGATGGGCAAAGCAGGACAGGACACAGTGGGATGGCTCGTGCCACGCAGCCGGTCATCCCCTGAGTCCTTGAGCCACGGGATAGCAGTGACTACTAACCAGGAAGGGGCCATGCTCCTTGAGGAAGCCCTCCATGGAGCTGCAGCCAGGGCCACCGTTCAGCCACAGGACCAGGGGGCTGTTCTGGGGATCGCTCTGGGCCTCCACGAACCTGTGGACATGTAGCTGTGAGTGCCCGGTGCCAGCCGATGCCCCCCCGTCGCCAGGCGCAGTCCCACGTACCAGTAGTGCAGGTACTTGCCCGGCCCGGCGCAGAGGTAGCCCGAGAAGTGGCGGAAGGACGGCTGCTTGGACAGCCCGGGCAGGTAGGTCACCTCATGGTCCCGGGGGGCGGCCCAGCCCAAGCCCAGCAGCAGCAACGACGACAGCAACACTGGCCCCATCTGCGGTGGGCGGAAGGGAAGCTCAGGCTGCTGTCGGCCAGGAACGGCCGCGGCAGCGCCCCGCGAGCGCCCGGGTCCGCCTGCCCCGGCCCGGCCCCCCCCACTCAGGGCTGACCCCCGTCCCGGCCCAGCCGGCTCCCCTGGCGCCGGTCCCGGTCCCTCCACCCCGTCCTCCCCGGTCTCGTCCCGGCGCCCCCCGGTCCCGCTGACCGCGGCCGCTCCCGGCGCGGCGCTCGCAGGCGGCGGTCACGGCGGGCACATGACACGAGCCCATATGACCTGCGGCCCTCACGTGAGCGGGGCGTGGCCCCACGGCGGCCAATCAGCGCCCCGGGGCCGGCCGGCCCCGCCCCGGCCCTGCCCGCGCACGTGGGAGCGGCCCCGGACCGGGACCGGGACAGTGGGGAGGGGACACCGATGGAGCCCCATACCCAAACGGGGTGCCGGTGGGCACTACCGGGCACCACCGGCCATAGCTGGGTGCCACCGGGCACAGCTGGGCGCCCACCCAGCACCGCCGGGTAAAGCCGGGCATCTCCCGGCACTGCCAGTCATCGCCGTGGGGTGACCACTGGCCGCTGCTGGCTATAGCTGGTACCACTGGGCACCACCGGGCACTGCTAGCTGCTGCTGGACAGTATGGGCACAGCCAGGCACCCTGGCCCAGGTGGCAGCTGGACAGTCCAGGGTGGAATGTCTGTGTGTGTAGTTTGGGCCCGGTTGTGCCCAGCAGCCACAGGGCCCCCCGAACCGCCCCCATGGCACCAGGACCCCCCTTGAGCCCTCCGATTGTCCCTCCCAGCCGGGCTGTCAGCACCTCACGGCAGCTGTGACAGGGACAGTTAAAAATAGCTCGGGCAGCAATGGCTGCCCGGTGCCGGCTTGCTGCACGCTTCCACCACATCCACGGCGCCAACATCCGCCTGGACGCCTCGCACACACAAGCCACACGGGTGGAGAGCTTCGCCAACGGGCTCTGCTTCAGCCAGGAGCCTCTGGCACCCGGGCAGATCTTCCTGGTGGAGATAGAAGAGAAGGAGCTGGGCTGGTGCGGGCACTTGCGCGTGGGACTGACAGCTCGTGACCCCCAGAGCCTGGAGGTAGTGCCTGAGTACTCGCTGCCGGACCTGGTCAGCCTGGGGGACACCTGGGTGTTTGCCATCACCCGCAACCACAACCGCGTGGTGCTGGAGGGGGAGCAGGCGCAGCCGCGGGGGCGGCCCTGGGAGCCCTTCCTGCTGATCGAGCGGGTGCGGATCCCGCGGGACACGCTGGTGGGACGCAGCCGGCCCGGCCGCTACAGCCACATCCTGGATGAGCTGTTCAAGACGAACGTGCTGCCCGCCACCGCCCGGCGCAGTCGCATCGGGGTGCTGTACGCCCCGCAGCCCGACGGCACCGCCGACATGCACATCGTCATCAACGGCGAGGACATGGGCCCGAGCGCCCGCGGCCTGCCCGCCTCCCGCCCGCTCTACGCCGTCATCGACGTCTTTGCCTCCACCAAGAGCGTCCGGGTGATCCCCGTGGATTATGGCTGTAGGTACCTGTGCCCCTCCCTGCTGCGTGGGGGAGCTCTGGTGGGGTCATGCCGTAGTCACCAACAGAGGGAAGGTTGGCGTGTGCCACTGGGCAGAGGGACACAGGGGGTAAGAGGGCACAGGAAAGCCTCTGGTCCTTGTGGAGCACAGGTGAGATTCACAGTATCACTGCTGGGCAGTGTCTGATGAAAGCTCTACCGTGAGTGCTGTGCTGGGGCCAAGGGAGAGACCCCCCGGCCACCCTTCCCGAGCAGAGTGATAGGGTTGGGTGTTTGGGGCTGTCCCACAGCTGTGAGGCCTTGCTGTGCCCAGCCTTGCCTACAGCACGTGGCAGCCAGAGCCAGCTAAGATCCTGCCCTGGCATCAAAACATCCACCTACACCCACCAGGGCTCAGCACAGGGCGCCCACGCGCCTGCTGTGTGCCCCAGACATGATGTTCCCTGGGCAGGCACCCTGTGATGCCATCGGAGCCTGGGCATTAGCCCGTGTCCCTTGGCTTGCTGGGAGGGACCACGCTAATAAGTGCCAATTAGCACCACGCTGGAAAAATGAGGAGATGGATCAGGTGAGACAGAGCCAGAAGAAGAGCTAGAGCCAGAGTACTGCCTGCCCTCAGCACTGGGAACCACTGCTTCACATGCTGGTGTCACGAGCAGCTGCGTCTGTCCCAAGGCTGGAACCTGGTATTCTCCCTGGTGTAACAGCTGAGGAGAGTAGTGGCTGCAGCAGACAGTACCCATGCTGCTGAGCCACCCATGGCTCTGGGAAGTCGTATCACAGGAGCAGGAACCAGGCAGATTCTGTGCAGGTGCCCAAGGGGATGGTTCTCATGGTAGTCTGCCCCAAAGGAATGTTGGGCACTGTCTCTGCAGGCAGTGCAGTCCCAGCCTGCACTCACTCAGCAGCTTGCTGCTGGGGCCAGTGCAGGCAGACCAAAGCAGTGGGATGGAAAAGAAGCACAGCATGGGTGTGTGAGACCCTGGGAAGTTGCTTGACAGCCACAAGAGAAAGAAATGCAAATCAGCTACAGTCAAACACAGCTTGGGCACATAACTGTCTCTCAGCCTTCCTCCTAATAACGGGAAGAGCTTTGCTGCCCGGGGCCCTTGAGCTTCCAGCCCTGCTGGAGCAGCCTGGCACCAGCCCCCGCACAGCCAGTTTGAGCCCAGGGCAGGAGGATGCCACAGAACAAACTCACCCACCACTGCCTTTAACCAGAGTGCCTCTGAGAAGCTCTGCCAGCTCCTCCACCCCCTGTGCTCAGCCTCCCTGCTGACTTGCCCGGCTCAGGTAGACTCTCTGTTCTCTTGCAGTTCCTTCCCTGCAGACCCTGTGCCGGCTGGTTATCCAGAAACACATTGTGCACCGCCTGGCCATCGATGGCCTGGACTTGCCCCCGCTACTCAAGAGCTCCTGCCAACATGAGTGAGGTATTGAGGGTGCTGCTGGGCTGCCCCCCACGTCAACAGCCCCCAGGGATGGCTGCCTGGCAGGCTCTGTGCCCCTCCCTGCCCACTCACCCCAGCGTGTGCTGCTGAAGGGCTGGCATGAGAGCAGAGCAAAGTGGGGTTGGGATTTTCCCCACACTGATGGTGTGGCATGCCCAGAGCACAGACAGGGGGATTGATGTGGGTCAGAGACTGCAATAAAGTGCTTCCAGACAAGACTCTGTCAACGGAGGCTTGGGGGGCTGGGACCCCCTGTGCTTTTCCCCTTGTGGGAGCAGTTCCCCCACTAGTGAGGAAGGGAGCACAGGCCACAGCCCTGTGGGGTTCAGGACATGTCCCTGGAATTATACTGGGACTGTCAGGGTGGATCAGAGCGGGTGGAGCGTGGGAGGGCACAGCACAGCACAGCGCTCACGTGGAGGTAACTTAGAGCCGGACACTCATCCTGGGCAGTTTCACTCTTGGGAAAGATGTTTACCCAGAGAATGATGAGTTATTTCCTGTGTGTTCAGCTTGGAGGGGGACGAGTCAGATGCGGCAGCACCCAGATAGCAGTGCTGGCAGCAGCCCTTGCTTGGGCACGTGTCTGTGGCCACAGAGCCAGTCACAGTGACCTGGTGTGGGGCACAGCCATCCTGACTTGGAGCTCCATGCCCTCAGCTCTGTGCCCTCAGCCAGACCCTTCAGCCCCTGGCAGGTGAGGATGGCATCCTGCAGTGCCTGTGGCAGGCTGGAGGGGAGGCAGGGTGGCAGCTGGGCAGAGGAACAGCCTGGAGGGGAGAGGTCTCCTAAAATCAGAGGGGTTCCAGAAAGATAGCAAAGGGGCTGGCAAAGCCTTCCAGGCCTCTTCCACAGCACAACCAAAGGGGAAACAAGCAGCTCTGAGCTGACAAAAAGATGTTTTAAAGAAACACGATGCTATATTTAGTCAGAGACTCGATAGTATCAGATCATGTTACAAAACTCATGCTCAAAGGAAATCCCCAGCCCTCAACCACAGCCAAGTCCATCAACACCAAAGTGTTAATGAAGAAATTGCTAAAGTCGATGTGAAAACATGGACAGCGACCAAACCACAGCAATGGAGCGAGGTCTGTGACATTCCCTGCTATGTCCCAACAACAGGCTGGGAGCTGCTGGGGCTGGATGGGGCTGGGGAGCTCACCACTCCAGAGCAGTTCCCACAGAGGAGGGAGTTTGCACACAGGCTGTTTTCCCTCCCCCACCCTTGCTCGAAGCCTTTGCTCCCCACCTCCCTGCAGTGTTATCTGCCCGGCAGTGACCCCTGCACACGAGGGCGGGTTCCTGTTTCTTGAGGAATTGAGAGCAGCTGCTGCAGCCAGACAAACAACACCCCTGCTCTGCAAGGGGCTGCAGCCCAGTGGGGTTGCAGGGATTCAGGAGCTGCCACCTGAGGCACCACAGGACGGCTGAGGAGCACTGCCCAAAGCCCTGCTGATTCCCCGTGCTCTGTTCCCTGGGCAGGGAGGGGTGGCTGCAGCTGGCACAGGGACAGGCTCAGCTCCCAAACAACACCAGGGTGATTTATTGGCTCAGTTGCACAACACCTCACAGCTGGATGCTGCAAGGACCTGTGGGTGCTGGCCACGGATGAAATAGTTTTGTCACGTGTTATTGTACCTAGGTCCCTACAAATCTATGGGCCCTTATGGGATTAATTTGAGAAACCACAAAGAACTGGCTGATGTCATCACAAAGGCTCTCGATGATTTTGGAGTGGTTTTGGGAATCTGGAGAGGTTCCCACATGACTGGAAGCTGAGGAACAATGTCCCAGTTTCACAGGGCAGCAAGGAGAACCCTGGGAACTACAGGCCTGTCAGTCTCACTTCAGTGCCCAGTAAAATCATGGAAAAGATCATTCTAGCAGGTACTGAAAAACACCTGTAGGAGAACACTGGTCACAGCCAGCATGGCTTCATGAGGGCAAAGTCCTGCTTGTTGGACATGATTTCCTTCTACAACAGGGTAACCCGCCTAACTGATCAAGGAAAGCCAGTAGCTGCAATGTTTTTGGGCTTCAGCAAAGCTTTTGACGCCGTCTGTCCCAGTATTCTTTTGGACAAAGTGTCCAGATTGCAGCTGAATAATCCTGTTGCACAATGGGTGAGCAACTGGCTCACAGGTTGGGCACAAACAAAGACTTAGAGGGAATGAGGTGACATCAGCCTGGTGTCCAGCCACTAGAGGGGTTCCATAGGGCTTCACCCTTGGCCCAATTCTCTTCAACATCTTCATTAACGCCTTGGACTCAGGACTTGAAGGAATATGAAGTAATATATTAATGTTTAGTGCTAAGAACACTAAACTAGGAGGAGCTGTCAACTCCATTGAGGGCAGAGAGGCCCTGCTGAGAGACCTCAACAAATTGGAGAGATGGGTCATCACCAAAAGTGTGAAGTTTAACAAGAGCAAGTGACCCACTCCACCTTGTACAGGGCAGTCCTGGTCGTATATACCCATGGGGGAAAAGAAGCTGGAGACCAGCACTGTGGAAAGGGACCTGGTCCATGGCAAGTTGAATATGATCAGCAGTGCCCTGGCAGCCAGGAGGGTCAGTCCTGTCCTGGGCATGAGACACAGCATTGCCAGCAAGGGAGAGGATTGTCCTGCCCTGCTCTGGTGCAGCCTCACCTCAAGTCCTGGGGGCAGTTTTGACACAGAAATATAAAAAAGACATTAAACTATTAGAGAACATTATTCAAAAGATGCCACGAGGATGGTGATGGGACTGGAGGCGAAGCTTTTGAGAAACAGTTGAGGTAACTTGGTCTGCTCAGCCTGGAGAAGAGGAAACTGAGGGAAGACCTCATTGTGGTCTTCAGCATTCTCGTGAGAGGAAGCAGAGGGGCAGGCACTGATCTCTTCACTGTCATGACCAGGGACAGAACACGAGGAAATGGTATAAAGCTGAGGCAGATTATCAGAAAAAGGTTTTTCATCTAAAGGGTGGCTGAGCACTGGAACAGGCTCCCCAGGGCAGTGGTCTTGGCATCAAGCCTGTCTGAGTTCAGGGAGTGTCTGGACAACGCTCTCAGGCACATGGTGGGATTTTTGTGGTGTCCTGCACAGGACTGGGAGTTGGACACAATCCCAATGGGTCCCTTCCAACTCAGCAGATTGTAGGATAGCAGCACCTCCCACATTGCACCACCCAGAGCTGGCTCCTGGCCACAGCTGTTAGCCAGGTCAGTGACTGTGACCCTTCCTGCAGGATCAGGAGCTCCCAGTCCAGTTCCTCTGCTGCCCCGTGCAAGAAGTGTCACTCACTCAGCAGATCAAGGAGCCAAACTGCCCCTTCCACACCGAGGAAATGACAGGCTGAGGGGAATGAAGGTGCAAGACAGGACCCAGTGGAAGCACCCAGCTCAGCTCCCACTCAGTGCTGAAGCTTCACCTCAATGGAGCTGATCCAGCTGTCAGCAGCTCCCACAGAGTCCTGTGCTCCCAGTCCTTATTGCTGTGGCTGATCTCTGCTGGGAGGAAGGACATCACCAGGGATTTATCCAAAGACTTGTTCCAGGAGCTCTTTAGGACCTCCAAGAGGCCATCAGCACTGTCTCACCCAGCCTGATGGGCATCACATCTCCTCTCCCATGGTCTACTGAGCATTTCCCTCTGCAAGAGCTTCTTGTTTGAATTCAGCACAGCCAAGATGTGCCAGCAGGGCAGCTGGAAGGCCAGGTTGAAGTGGCAAGTGTGACTACCTGCCACTAGTACATTCCCCACAGGGTGGGCATCCTCCTGGATCTGTACACTGAGCCTGTCCTACCTGGTGCAAATCAGCTGCCTGGACTTCCAAACCACTGCCTTAGGCACAGCCTGGCAGCAGCCTCTGTGCAAATGCCACTCAAAGACTGCCTGATGCTGTCTTCAGTCCTTTGGGTAATCTAATCTTCACTGTCATCCTCTGAGGTTTCTGTGGCCTCCAGTTTTGCCACAGGAGACAGGATCTAACAGGGACTGAGCTTGCCAGCTCACTCTGGAGAAGAGCATGAGGTGTTTCAGGCTGACACTGAAGGGCCTCAGGGAGTTGGTGGACTCTGGAGGACAATCACACGACTCTCAACAGCCACAAGAGAGGCTGACATGGGCTGCTGCTTCTGCTGAGCTGCTGCCACAGTGGAGGAAGCCTGGCCAGAGCTCTGGGATGTGTTACCATAGCACACCAGAGAGCCAAGAGGCAAGTCTGAAATAGGCAGACTTTGGGGAACTGCCTGAGCAGCACAGTGATCAGGATGGGGAGCAGAGTGTCACAGGATCAGGAAGGGACCTTAGAAACACACTCTTCTTAATGCCAGGCCAAGGTGGTGATGCAGCTCTCCAGAGAGAACCTAGCACTGAAAATTTGACTTAACCCTGGATGACAATCTCCAGCTCCGTGAAGAAGCCTCTGCTCACCCCCAGCTGCCCAGATCCCATCCTCGAGCGGCCGCTGAAGGTGGAGCTGAGGCAGCCAGTCCGGTGTGATGAGGGCTCTCAGGACGGCGAGCAGCTCCTGCCGGTGGCTCTCAGTGCCTGCACCCACGGCTTTCCCGGCGGCGATCGCGGCCGGCCACTCGGTGCTCCGGGCACGGCCGCTTGGGGAGGGGCAGCACCGGGAGCTGCACCGGGCAGGCGCGGCTGGGGCTGTCCGTGCGGGCCCGCTCCGCGCTGCCGCTACCGGCGGGGACACCGCGGCGTGTCCCGGTCCCTGCCGCGCTCCGGTGGCGGCGCAGTGCGGCCTCACCGGCGCTGGGCTCCGCCCGCCGCGGCGGCACCGGAGCGCTCGGGCGTCGCCCGCCGCGGCCGCCGTGCATCGCACCGGGAGCACCGGGAGCGCCGCTCGCTGTGGCCGCCGTGCATCGCACCGGGAACACCGGGAGCGCCGCTCGCTGTGGCCGCTCCCCAGGGCAGCGTGCGGGCACCGGCTCCTGCCTGGCTGCCTCCCCCTCCTCCCTCCGCACCGCTGTGCAGCGGCTGGAGGCGCAGCGACTGCGCTCTC